GCGGGAGAAGGGGAGGCGCCCGCCTCTCTGTCCGAAAGGGCCAATGGCGGCGGAGGGGGCGGGGCGTCCAGGCTCTGGGAGGCCGGTCGGGCGCCGGAGGGGCCAAAAGCCCGGGAGGGAGAGACAGAGAGAGAGCGCGCAGGCGGGCAGAAGGACGGCGGGGCAACGGCGGAGGGTCTCTCCTCTCCCCTCCCGGCTGCGGGGCGGCGAGTGGTAGGTAATAATAACAACAACAATAATAATAGTGATAGTCATAACAATGGAGTCCCTCTTGCAGGGGTTTCAAAAGCGAGTCCTTCGCCCCGAGGAGGTTGCAGTGACGCCGCGGNGGAGGGGAGGGCAGGGACGTGAATGTAAACAATAACACGTCGTAGATGTCGATCTATCTGTATGTGAGGGTGGGGGCATTCAAAAGCCTGGCCAGCAAGCGAAAAGTATTATACCTAGGTTTCGAGGATGCATCTCTCTCTGTGTATATACATACTGTATATCTGTGTGTATGTACAAACCATCCCCCCCCCCAGATATGCATCCTCTAAACATAGGTAAAATACTTCTGCTTGCTAGTCAGGCTTTTGAACACAGGACCTCCACCCTCTCTGAGGCTGACCAGCTTTATGGTCCTCTTCTTGACTCCCCTTGTCCCTGCCAACTCTCTCTCTCTCTCTCTCTCTGTGTGTGTATGTGTGTGTGTGTGTGTGAGAGAGAGAGAGAGAGAGAAACACACAGAGTGGACAGGGACAAGGGGGAGTCAAGAAGAGGACAATGAAGCCCCGTCGCTGACGGTCAGCCCACGTGTGGTGGCCGCGTCCAGGGTCCTTTTCCGAAGGCAGGCAGGCTTAGCATGTGGGGGGGGGGACACGAGGTTCCCCTAAGCTGCCCTGGCTGTAAACCGATTAGTCTTCCGGGGACCACAGAGGCTTTTGTTACGGGGCTTTTCGGTGCGCTCCTGCGCCGCCCGTGTCCAGCTGCCTTTGGGGCTCTCTTGTGTGTTCGTGCTCAGATGCTTGCCATCCCTTCCTTGCCTCTCCTCCCCGGAGGCGCCCTGTGGCAGCTGACGTCCGGCAGACCTGTGACCCACCACCTTCTTCACCTGGATCCCACGGCTCTGTCCCCGAGGCTCGAGAACAGCCCCGGTGCTGAGAGGACCGAGGAATGGGGGGCACCGTGCCGGTGTGTGTGTGTCTGCAAGTACCGGGTCCATCCTGATTCGGTGCTGAGCCTGCCTGTGTTTGAGGTTTCCTCCTAGCCAGGGAAGAGTGGCTGGAGGCAGCGTGGCCTATTGGGGCGGGGCGGGGCCGTGCTATTTGGGCAGCAAATACCCCTGGGTGGATTTGCACCCTTTCAGTGGTGATTTTTTGTGCACTCAAAATTCTCACGGTCCATGGGGTGAAGCCTCACCCGTGGGATGGGGGGCACAGCCCAGGTGGGTGGAGGCAGGGCTGCCGGGCAGAGCCTGGGGCAAAAGTGAATATTCGGCCATAAACACGCGCAAGGGCACCTCTTTTGGTAGAAGCCGCCAGGCCAGAATTCACGCAGGGCCCCCCACCAGGAGGGCCAGGGCCCCGACCTTCCAGCCTTTGATGAGGAGACAGGCAAGAGGGAGGGCTGGCAGGGGAGCCCCAGATTTACCTTAATGGGTGAACTCATCCTTCCTACACCCAGATCGAGGGTTGGTCCAGGGGAGTGTGACCTGGATGAGAAGACAGGGGCGGGATGGCTGTCCGGTTGTCCCAGCCCTCCTGCTTGTCTTCCCCGCTGCACGGATGGTGCAGACATGGGGGTGGGTGGGTATTGCTGGTTGTAAGGGGGAAAAAACTAACTCTTTCACCCCTCCCTGCCTCGTTTTCTGCTTTTCTTCTGGGCTGACGGTCATTCTCCTAAACCTCACCACCCCCATGCAAAGACACGGACACCAGCTTGTTTTTCTCGACCCTTGTGTGGGGCAGGAGGAGAAAAAAAAAAGGCAGGCCTCTTTACCCAAAGCCTAGCCCGGGTGGCCTCTACGGCAGGGCGTCTGCTGCCCAATGTGTTCAGAGCCACACACACACCCCCCGGGCTGCTCAAAAGGTCACCAGAGCCTGATCCCTGGCCAATTCAGGGAATCCACCCCAAAGCATCCTCGGGTGAGGCTTTCCAACCTGGGCTGAAGCTCTCCCAAGGAAGGTGAGTCTCCACCAGCTTCTGAGGAAGTTGGGCCCCTCCCTCACTGAGCAGCTCTTGCCGCCAGGAGCCTCCTCCCATGGGGGTCAGAACCCCTCTTCCTTGTTTGTCTGGGGCCGTGGGAACCGAGGGGAAAACCCTTCAGAAATCTGGGGGTGGCCCGCTTGCCTCCTTTTGGGCGCATCTGCATCCTGCGTGCCAGGTGTTGTGTTTTGGGTGCCCCCCCCTTCCCAGTGACGTCTCTGAGCCGCCCTGGCCGGCTCTGATCGCCAGCCCATTCCTTCCATCTGTGGGACGGTTTCCTTCCGGCTCCTCAGAAACACTCCCGGGCTGCTTGCTTGTGTCCACACGTGGTTTATCCTCTGCCCTGTTCAGATCCATGCATGGCTTCTACGATGTGGCTGCAGAGTATAGTGTCCCCCATAAGTACACAGCCAACAGTCAATGGGGCTCTGCAGAGGGAAGGACCCAGTGACAGAGAGGCCCTTCTCTCCTCTCTCTCTTTCTCTCTGTGACTTCTCCTTTTCCCCCCTTCATTTCCCCCTTTTTCGACTCCCCATGCAGCCATAGCTTCCTTCCACTCGCAGCTTGTGCTCGCCTGCGTCTCTTCTCCAGCCTGACCACCATGTTCTTCGGTCTCTTTTATTTACCCTTGCCAATCCGAGTCCTGTGGGACCCCGAGGCTGTCCAATTCTGACGATGAATCAATCAAAGGAATAGAGAAGGGGAGACAAAAACGCTTCTCCTGGAAGCACAGATGTTTTTCTCAGCTTCTGTTCTCCACCCAAATGAGAAGGGAACGGATTGACAGAGTGATGGCCAGATCGATCAGTGGGGCGCGGAAAGGGTGGGGAGGGAGCGTGTAAATATCCAGAATTGCTCCAGAAGTGCAAATATTCAGAAGAGCTCCAGAAGGGCCCCATCCGTAAAAGAGCTGCCCCCAAGTATTGCCTGTAGCTCTTCTGCCCTTATTTCCTCCGTTGTTAAAAATCTGACATCCCCCCAATCATTATGCAGTCAGTCTAAGAAAAGTGTCTTCTTGGCTGGGGGACTGAATCAGTTCGTATCTGTTTGCATCAGTTCGCCTTCTTCTCTACTAAAAGAGCTGCCCCCAAGTGTTGCCTGTAGCTCTTCTGCCCTTATTGCCTCCATTGTTAAAAATCTGACCCCCCCCCCAATCGTTATACAGTTGGTTTAAGAAAAGTGTCTTCTTGGCTGGGGGACCGACTCTGTTTGCATCAGTTCGCCTTCTTCTCTACCCCCCCATCCCTGTCTTCTTCACCTCCTTTTCTCCTATGTAGATTGTCTTTTCCCCACATTGACCCTATATGATGAAGATGCCTTATTATGTGGGCAACAGCCTCTTTGTTCCTAATATATGTGGGGCCCAAGAGAGGAGGGAGTCCCGTTTGTGTTTAAGCCTGCTTGTTCTCCAGCGATGGTGCCGTTTGGCCTCGGTTGCTAGTGTCACCTCTAATAGACTTGCCCCTTCTTGTCCTTGGTCCTGTTCATAGACTAGTGGAGTTGAAACAGACTCAAGAGTTATCTAGCCTAGCTGTACACCAAGGCCTTCTTCTCGGTGGCTACTCCTTTAGGCTCTGGAACTCCTTGCCACAGGAGGCCAGGCTGGTCCCAACTTTGCTCTCTTTCTGCAAGCAGGCAAAGACCTTTCCCTTCAGGCAAGTCTTCCCTCAGTAAACCAGCTACCTGTTTTCCCGAAAATAAGACCTCACCTGAAAAGAAGCCCTAGTATGAATTTTTCAGGATGCTCGTCATAGAAGCCCTACTCCAAAACTAAGCCTAAATTAAGTGAAACCCCACCCTCCACTCTTGTGCAGCAACCAGAAGAAGAGGACAGGACTGTATTTGAATAAATATAGATGGTTGTACATGAAACAAATAAAACATCCCCTAGACATCAGCCCTAATGCATTTTTGGAGCAAAAATTAATAAAAAACCCTGTCTTATTTTCGTTATTATTATTTTTGTGTATGGTTCTTCAGATGGATTGTTATCCATTACTGCATTGACTGGGTTTTTAGTACTACTTGTGTTTCCCATTTATCAGATTGGTGTTTGTTTGATTTTTTTAGTATTTGTGTACTTAATGTTTTTTAGCTTTTAATATTGTCTTTCAGGGATGTAAGCTGCCTTGGGTCCTTTTAAAAGAGAAAGGGCGTGGTCACCATGTTAAAAAATAAATAAATAAACAAAGAAAAGGCGACCTAACACCTGCTTAAATGCCCCCAACAGAGGAGAGCCTGCCCCCTTCCAAGCCGGTCTGCCCCACACCCAAAAAGCGCTTACTCTCAGGAAGTTCTTCTTCATGCTTAGTTGGAAGCCGTTGTGTCGTATTTGGAATCTGCTGTTTTTGAGTCTTGGTGTGTGTTTTCTCTTAGTATTGGGGATCCGCACAGGATACCCCACCACACACTTTATTCATTATGGTGTGTGTGTGTGTGTGTGTGTGGTTCGTATTGGGGATCCGCACAGGAAACCCCACCACACACTTTATGCATTATCTCGTGTGTGTGTGTGTGTGTGTTTGTTTGTGTGTGTGTTTGTGTGTGTGTTTGTGTGTTTTGCTCTCCCGGCTCTTTCCTCAGGTTGAGAATCAAGGACGGACGGCTTTCTCTTTGCTGCTGTTTTGGTTCTGTTGTTACAGCAGCAAGCGGGGGGGGGGACCTGTCTGCCCTGCTGATTATTTATTCCCCCCCCCTTGATCAATGGCTTTTCTTAAGAAAAAGAAAATTACCCAGACAGCAGAGAGAGGGATCACTGGCCTTTGTTTCTTGACAGTGACCGATTGCCTTTGTTAACTGTAACTGTTGTGACTCATTCAAAAGGCAGTGGAACTTTAGGTAAACATTGTGCAAATGTGTGGGTTTTTTTAAAATTCAGTACATTACATCAGTATAAAAGCTAGTCGGATGAAAAGTAGAAGAGGGTCTTATGTTAGATGTAGGGGTGATTTGATATAGGCTGGCACTGGACTCCTCATATCTGCAATTTGGAATGTAATAGGAATTTAAAAATTGCACTCGTAAAAAGAT